TTAAAATCTTGAATGAAGTTTATCCATCCAATGAAATGCTGAGAATGAGATTTAATATTGACCATAACAACTGTATTTTTTGTGAATCCAACATCGAAACGATGGATCATCTTTTTTTATCAATGTATTTACACAAAAACTTTCTGGGAGGATTTTCTGGACTGGCTTTCTACAAAGATCCAACAGGACACACTTACTGTACTCTGGACAACATAATATTTGGATTGAACTTGAAGGATGCACAATCAGATTATGTTTTAAACAATTTACATGTCAAAATATTTCATTCATTGCTGTAAATGGAAAAAGGTAAAGCCTATCTTTAATGTATTTAAAAAACATCTGCTTGAAAATTATTTAATTGCTTRAAAACGAATGAAATGTAAGAATGCAAAGTCTCTATGGAATGGATTTGAAAATTTGAAAATATTTGAAGACTTCTGATTGTAGTTGTACAACTGTGTGAATGTATTTGAATTTTTTTCTTTTGTTTATTTCTATTGTTTGCTCTGTTCTATCTTGTGCCTTGAAAATGTTATTTCTCCTGTTTATTGTTGTTATACCCCTAAACGTTTGTACACTTGAATTTATATTACAAAAAAAAAAAGCTTAGTTGTCCAATGTCCTTCAGGTAAAACATTCCGACACCCTCCAGAAAATATTTGTTCCATTTGTTTTTGTGTCCTATCAACAAGTAAGATCACAAAAACATATTCTATGGAAACCCGGAGAATAAAACAAAATGTATTATTTAGTGCACTAAATAACTCATAAATCACACATGTTTTCCTTACTGTATTGTCATTTTGAATTTTAGGCATACCTATTTTTAATCAATAAATTCTAATCATTATAATTTTGTTATGAATTTTAAATACACAATAACTGCACATTTTCAAGAGACTCCTCATTATTTACAAATAAATACAGAAGTGTGCAAATACCTTGAGTCGTTTCTCTATTCCTTATGTCCAATGAGCCAGTCTATCTTGTAATCATTTAAACATTTAAGTACTTTCTGAACAAAACTAACTTTTAGTTTTCTCTGAACAAGAACTGTTTTCCACTCATTTTCAACCCAATTTAGTTTGTTTAATTAGGCCACTTAACTTTGACCAAATCAAATAGAAAATGGTTTCTGAACACATAAGACAACTTGACAACAAAAAAACAAACAAAAAGAATCTACTTTCATTTTAATTATTGGCTAATTTGTTACCAGAATCATGTCACAAAGATAAAGCTCATCCGATAAAGATAGTTTTTTATTGTTTGATTTTATTTTAATTGATTTATTTATTTAACAGGAAAAGATTATTAAAAATCAAGCCCGACTCAGCATAATTGCTGTTTTACAGCAGGTTCCTGTTCTGCAGCCCATAAAACACTCAGAATTACAGCATCACAATCACATCATTATAC